CGAAATGATTGGAGGGCGAAATTATCTCGTGAATGGTAATGTTTTGTTTGGGGAAGAAGAGAGAAGCCGGATAGGCAGGACACGCTGATCATCCTTTACTATATTACATACTCACTCAATATACGTTGAGGCTTTGGAAAATGGGCTATCCACCAAAATTTTCAAATTTTGCTGCTTCTATTTTTGGAAACACTCAATAATTACCAAAACGCCCTCACAAATGTTAGTATTAGTGAGGACGTTTGGGTAATTTTTATTCTTTATCTAATTTGATAAATTAACATAATTTTAGTATTAGTACAGAACTACTATAATAAAAAATTATTTATCATTTATAGTAATAATATTTTATTTTTATTTGATTACTTTTAATTTATTTATAATACAAGTTTAATTCATATTACAAAAAATAATATTTTATTTACTTATAATACAAATTTTAATGATAGATAATTTATTTATCACATATTTTAATATACTGATAATGCAATATGTCAAATTTTACCAAGCAAACATAATATATTTTAAAAAACAATTATAATTCGTATATATTGCATACACAATTTAGTTTTATTACATATTACAGATTTAACATAGTATTGTTATAAGTGGTAATAAATTAAAAGTATTGCTACTAAGTAATTCTTTGCATTTTGCTTTCTCCTTTTCCCCCCATAATTTCTCACATTGATCTTTAAAGTACAATTCGAATGGCGATATGATCAAGAGGTTGATTCCTCTTGCCACTTGGTTCAATTTCAGTTCTTATTTTTATTTTAGATTTTTAAATGATACGAAAATACTTGCAAATTAGCAAAAGTACTTTAGATGGTTTGATATAGTGTATAAGAATAATATTATTAATGCTTGTATTAGTAATGCATGTATTAATTATGAGGGACAATAAAATCTAATCATGCTAATGCATATATTAAAAGCATTACATTGCTGATACCTAGAATTTCACAATATTAATAATACTCTATAAATTAGTTAAATATAGATTAAAAAATCAGATAAGACACTAATAATACACAAAATTAATGTATACATTATTTTTTCTAATACACTCTATCAAACGATCACTTAATAGTAAAACACCTTATATTAACCTTATAAAATCTAAAGGAAAGAGGAGGAGAACTTATCCCACGAAGTAAGTTTAAAATTAATGTAACAATAAACATATGATTCAATTATAATTATATGATGAGCATATGAATGTATATATAAAGATTGTATATATTTATCAATTTGAAATAAATACTTATTAGTATAAAATTAGTGCCATGAAATTAAAAATGACATTGCATTGGATTTCAAATTAATTATTTTAATTCCATTATCTAGAGAGTTGAGACAGAGAGAGAAGAAGTGACATTTGACACCGTGAAAGCAAACCCAAATATATATAAAAAGACAAATTTTAAAGTCTGAATTAATCGAAGTGTCAGTATTTAATCTCCCAATAGTTATCTCTTTGGGATAGAGTCAAAATTTTATTATAATTATTGGCAACAACCTTGCAAAATTATTCAAATTTTAGAGTCACGTCAAAGAGTATTGTGTGATCATTCGTATTAGAGGAATACAGTATATGTGAAGTAGATGAAAATTATGAGGAATCTGCCCTAGATGGTTTTACCAATGTAAGGGTACAGTCTATACGTACATAATACTCTCTCTGTCTTCGATTCAATTTATGAGAATACATTAAGTACTTAGTGAGTATGTACATTTTAGATTACAGTTGAAAATAAAATGAACAAATATTGAACAGAAAAATGTTAATATACGATATAACTTTGGACTTATCTCCTTTCTAGAATATAATAGTCCAACAACATCCTATAACTTAAATAACTCTAATTGAATTGAAGAGTTTAAAATTTCACAAAAAAAACATCTTCTTTCAATATCAATAATATATAATTACTATCATATTTATATATAATATATAAAATTACTACCATGTTTACGTATATAATACTTTCAACCCACTTTCCATCTATTTCACTATTACAACACAAAGAAGAAAATGTTCTTTATATATAAGTATTGTGTTCTTTCTTCTACAAGTAAATGTCAAGAATGTGAATGGTTATTTGAGGAATAGTGGGATAATATAATAGAATATAATGAGTAAAACATGTCATGATTTTTAACTTTGAAGCAAATTGGTGTGACCTTTGATTTTGGATGTGCACAAGTACACTTAAATTTAAATAAATTGAGTAAATGGACATGTTCCTCCCATATGACACTCTACATGACAATTGTCATTTAGCTATATCTACTTGTTCAATTTTATATAAGTTTAAGTGTCTACTTGTGCACATTCAAAATTGGAGGGCATATTGTTCGCCAAAGCCAAGTCAATGATCATGCTTATGTATTATGCTTTATTTTATTATCTATACAAAACAATACATATCGGTGCCTTTTATATTCATTGATACAACATTAATAAGGGTGTGCGACCGATTGATCAATGATATGAATTAAGAATCGTGGATAAAATTTGAACTATAAATCCTAGAAAAGGAAAAAATATGATTTCTTCTGCTAGTCTAATTGAGACACTATTACAATTATTATTATTTCAGAAAACACGTTCATATAAATTTATTGGCAAGAACTTACTCAAAAGTATGAGAATGAGCAGCAAAATACTAGGCTATATTATATTTAGATGTATCTATAGACATTAATTAATCAATAAAATTATTAGCTACCACTTTAATAAGGCATTTGTAAAAAATTGTCAAGAATCAAACTGCACTAAGTTTGAAAATTTATTCGTGTAATTGTAGTTGAAAATAAAGATTTGATGCTTGAAAATGATAGTCATATCAATAGAAATTTAAATTTGTCAAATAACAATAGTGTAAGAGGAATTGTGTTAATCATTTGTTTGTCATTTTTCATAGATTCTTGTTATTGTTATTTCTTTTTATATCTAAGCTTTTATTTTAACTTTTAATTTTAATTTGTGTTTTCATTTAATCAAAGGAAAAAAGATAAATATACTCTCAAAAGTATCGTAAATGGTATGCAGATACCTTTCGTCATAACTTCCGGAAATTGGTGCTCTTGCCATCCAAAAACTAGAACGTATATGCCTTTTACTCTAACAGAAAATTAAATAAAGACACGCGAAGCAATCTTATCTATTGATCCGATGTCGGGTTGGTGGATAAGATTATAACACGTTCGTTAGTATTAAAGGGTATATATATATATACTCTAGTTTTTTGACGCTAGAGGCACTTATGTCCCAAAAGTATGGCAAAAGATATCTGATTATCTGCATACCGTTTACGATAATTCGAGGGAACATTTGCAATTTTTCCCTTTTAATCAAATCATATGAACAACTATGTCTAAGCTCTTATTTTGACTCCTCTTCATGGCTCAAGATACTCCTTGTATAAACTTCCATATGGCAAAAGGATTAGCCAAATGACGCTTATATGACATGATCACATGACAAATCATCACACATAACTAATTACATAGTTTGTCCTACAATCAAATTGTAACTAATAACTATAAAATATCAGTTTTTTTGTTGGATAATTTTTTATTTTTATTTTTTTTTGCATAAAATAGTATTACATGTGTATTAGATCGAAGTGTTAGTGAGCTGTCTCATGCACGCTTTCATTTTTGGGAGCCAATATGAATACTATATGATAAGATAATAATATTTAGTCCCAACACCAAGACACAGCTCCTTATTTTCTGTTTAATTATCCACCCAACGGCACTACAAAGTACAAATACACCAATTCTAGTGTTGTGTTTATTAGTTACTTCTATCGATGAAATTAATTATTTGAACATCAATCTGTCTTGTTGCTTTATGGTAAGTATTTATTCCTTTACTTATTCTTTTTATATTTCAACATAATAATCTATAGTATCTAATTACAAATTCACTAATAATGGACCAAAAAGTAGAAGAAGAGAGGAAAAAAAGGATATAGTTGGGGGTTAATAGATTTTCCACCAAAGAAAGTTGCTCATATTTTATTGTGACACTTTCTTGTAAGATTTATTTTAAAACTAACTTAAGTTATTTTTTAATAATAATGATTTTAGTGAAACAAATGTCTCTGATTTATTTTAAATCACAAGTTTTAGAAAATGATATATCTTTGAGTTGCTAGTTAAGAGTTAGGTGGGAAATAGTTGAGGAAAACTAAGCAAATATCTCATAAAAGTAAAATATTTATAAATATGTATCCTTTTATATGATCATATCCCACTAAATAATTACATCATATGCCTCCTAACTAGTACTCCATATAATATTGATTTAGTATCAGTTGAGCGAAAATTATCAGTCTTAATGATACCAATATAATATATGATATTAATTTAGTACCCATTAAACAAAAAATTATCAGCCTTAATGAACGTGATAATGCGATAATTTTTTATTAGAAAATTAGTATTTCAAGAATTACTTTAAATTTGAGTATAAACTTGTAAGTATTTTGAATTTTATAGCCCATTTATGCAGTAAATTACATTGTGTTTAGCTATGGTTAAAATTTTAGCTTGATGTATATATGTTGACTCCCTATTCATTGTTTTTTTTTTTAAAGTCTACTTTTAATATATATTTTGACACCCTTTAGTAAATTTTTTGGCTCTCCACTATCTGTACCGAATCCTTCAAAATGCACTATTTATGGGGAATCTGACACACACTCATCGACATTTTTGAAAAATCCCAGCAACAAGCTTAATTTGATAAATTTTACCCAAAACAAGTGAAATTAATTAGTAAACGAAAATTAACAGAAAAGCCCGTCTAGCTCAGTTGGTAGAGCGCAAGGCTCTTTACCTTGTGGTCGTGGGTTCGAGCCCCACGGTGGGCGAATAAAATTAATTTTTGCTTCTTTTCTTTTTACTCGATGAAGGGCATTTTAGACAATTCGTCACTCATCAACAGAATCCTATCTTCCCTGGCCAGCCAAGCAAAGTAAACTAAACTAAAAAAGAGCCGCAAAGCTAAGCCCCTGATTACCTTCCGGCGACAACATCGCCACATTTCCGCCGTCGTATCCGGCGGCTCATATGACCTCGGCCGGTCAATTGAAACCTAATTTGGACAGCGAAAACGATACCGGAAAAGCATCTCCGGGGGACAGTGGAGGGACTTCAGGCATGAGGCTCGTTGTGCCCTTACAAGGTGTAGTTCAAGGCAGAGGCGGCCTTATTTTAGGCTCACTCATTCCTTGTGCACTTTTCTACTTCCTCCAATTCTACTTGAAACGACACCGTACTACCCCGTCTTCTTCTAATCCTCCGTCACCGTCCACGTCATCGCCGAACCTATCCGATTTACAACGCTCGTCTTCACGTTTAAATTTGTCAACTCGTGGTTCCGTTGGCCGTGTCTTTTTGTCTTCAAGGGCTAGTTTGGTTGCTGCACCGAATGATTCCCCTTACTACGTTGGAATGGATAGGTTCCGAGCGGATCCATACGATGAATTGGATAATCCCGACGGTGTTATTGATCTCGGAATTGCGGAAAACAGGGTATAGTCTATGATTTTTGCTGCTGTAAAAGTCTGCTAATTTACGGGTTCATTTCTTCTTTCTGTACTGGAAATCACTGATTTTACAATGTGTTTCTTCTTTTGTATTTGCTTGAAGTTGTCGCTTGATCTGATTGAGAAGTGGATTTCAAGCAATGTGAATATTGGAAGTGGCGGTGATGGATTGAATATCAATGGAATTCTTACATACCAGCCATTTGATGGAATGGCTGAGCTGAAAGTGGTAATGCATTTTAAATCTAAAAAAAGTGGTAATGCATTTTAGTTCATTTCGTTTTTCCTGGAACTTGCTCCTCAGTACAGTGAGAGTTCTTGCTGTAAAGCCTATTTGGTATGACATAAATTCTCTTCAGCATAATAAAAGAAGGTTGAGGTGGGGAGTGGAAATGGTGTTTGCTGAGATGCTTACACTCTGATAGGAGCAAGTGATACAAGTAGGAGTCAGGTGTAAAACATTTATGCCTCAATCCCAACTTGTTGGCATAGTAATTGTCATTCTTGTTATGTATCTGAGTTGTTTTCCCTCTTTCTGCGGAAACTAATATCTTAAGAGAGAACATTTAACCGTGCTTTAGCTCTCAAACACGGGAAACCGGAACCATTTGTATTCCCTTCCTATCATATACCTAAAGTTAATTATGGAAGTTCTTACTTGTGTTTTTCAGCACTTTAATTCTTTTTTACTCCACTTATACCTTTAGTACAATAAATTAGTTTGTATACAACTGACTGGCCTGCAACTAATGGTACTTATATTCGCAGTCCAGTCAAGATGAATTAATAGACTTTCCTTTCTTACAGGATAAATGAATAAATGCACGTCTTTGTATCGTCTAGTTTCTTCCTCTTTCATATTTTAATTTTCTATGGTATTTCTTACTGTTTGATTTTCAATATATGGCATACTTACAGTTATTACTTCATTTTGCTTGTTAACCAAATTTTTTCATGAAATAACTAGTACATTCATTAAATAAAGGTGTTATTCTTGAACACAATTAGCTAGTCCTAAGAATGCAAATCAATGAGGAAAAATAAGGAATAGATGGCTACTGAATATGCATGTTTTGTTGAAAATCTAGGCACCAGTCTTATAGTCTATCAAACCTGTGTTGCTCTATGATCACGAAACATGAAAAGAAAATTTACCTTCTTGTTTTGGTACGACAAATAACTTCTCAAAAGAAAAAAAGTTTAAACTATTCATTAACACTTGTTTCCAAGTTACTTTTTGAAGTGCAAATGTTGTAGAGTATATCTAGTTAATTTCTAGATTCTATGGTCAAATGCAATTGTAGAACGTATCTTATACTTTATAAGTTTATGTGGAAGCATAACATTAGTTGAGGCGAATGACTTGTGCTCTCCTTATAGTGTCTTGGACAATCCTCCCTCATGGACTAGCTTTTAAGGTTGACTATTGAGTTAGGTCCAAGATCTATTCAGGCTCATCGATCCTTGTTATTGTGTTTTTCAATGTTAGATTCCATGTTATGTTATCCATGCTCCTCCCACCACCACAGTTTTTTAATCCTGCACAATTCAGAGTGTTAAGCTCCATTTTGGTTGACAAATGTGTTATGGTCTCATTATATGGTCTTAGATAGTCCTGTCTGCATGAAACTTTAGGGATTGAGGTAGATCCGAGGTCCAATTCCTCACACATACATCCCAAAATAGCTTTCAACGTAAATGGCACATCAAGCACTGATGTCAAAATTTGCCTCTAAAAGCTCCAATTCAGCACAAGTTCTAGAATTGTTGTGTCTTCTTCCAAAGAGGCAACTTTGATTGTTCAAGTTCCCTCAAAAGGGCAAGAGACATTCATAAATACCAACAGGAAATCTTAATTAATTCAAAAAGTACAAATGTCAGTTACATACTCTACCAAAAAATGGCACCAATGTTACATAGAACAAATATTTTAAAATTAACGTGACACTAAAAATGTAAACGAATATCAACACATGGTACTTTGGGTAGGAGGCATTTGGTCAAAATTATGTCTAGTTCTCATAGTGGTTCAGGGATTTAAAATTTGTCAATTTTTCATTATTAGTACATAATAAATAGAATGCCTCATTACTACTTTTTCTTATCGTGCCATACCCCCAAATGGTTGAAGTTGAGGAGTAATTGACAAGTCATTAGTGTCCAAATTTATTGGAATGAGTCCAAACACTAAAGCTATATTGGAATGCAATAGGTCGTGACCATCGAATGTCAGTATTTGACATGGTATGAAGCCAGAGTACTGTCATAAATTTAGAACATGCTTCTTAGGCTCTTAGCTAGGGAACATTATCCGATGCCGGATGCCCAATATTTTTGAAATTATCTTCAGCTTATAATCATTGAATGTGACCGGAAAAATCTATAGAAGTGTATGAAGAAAAAACTTTCCAGGTTGGGCTAATAAATTTTTGATACCCATGTTTACAAGTAAAATATTTTTTTTTTGTTTTGCTTTGGAACAGGGAGGATTGAGATGACTGCAGGCCATAGGTTCTGGTTTTGCCTAAAAATTTGATGTTTCTGTTATTTCCTCTATCCTTTTCCAATTTGGTTGTGTATATTTTTTATGTCTTATATTTACTAAAGAAATTTAAAATTACCAATTAGGAGAAACAACCTCTCAACCTCCTAAGGTAGGGGTAAGGTATGTGCACACTTTACCCTCCCCAGACCCCACTTGTGGGTTTACACGGTGTATATTGTTGTTTTGTGGTTCCATATTGATTTTTCTGTCAAGGAAAAAGAAGTTGAGGGCAAAATGATATTTAAAAAGAGTGAAGAGGGTTACACAACTTTTTCTAGTAATTAAAATGTATAAAATTTTCTATTTAAAGAGAGTGGGACAAATTTTGCTTTCCTTGGAATATTTTGATCTTATACTAAGCAGATTTATACGCGTGTAAAAAATATAGAGATTCTTTTAAAAAATATATAGCTTATTTTCACTTCCATTTTTAATTTGGTACTATGATGGCATGAGTTGAACTTAAATGGAGAAACACGGTCGGTGAGGATTCATATAGCTAACAACTTGTTTCAGATTAATGCTTCGTTATTGTTATCGTGCCACATTTTGGGACAACTTGAAAAAAAGAAATAGGACAAGTATTTTGGGAGGGAGGGGTATTAACCAGCATCACTAAAGGTGCGTTTAAACCTTGTAGTTTGGTGTAAACTTAGTCTGAGTACTTCACATTGCAGAAGCAACTCTTTGGCATAGACACTGACGCTTTGAAGCAATCTCATGGTCTCTGTCTTGAAGAGGTTGACGCTGATAAATAAATACAGCTAGCAAAACAGCTAACTGATTTTTGGATAAATACGATAGTGGTTAAGAATAGAAAAGTACCGCACTTGTGGGATTACACTTGGTATGTTGTATTAAGAAAAGAAAAACTAGATAGATTCTTTTATAGATATACTGCTTGTATGCATGGGTTTTCACCCAATTTGATGAATATTTATATCGCCTGCATGTCGGGGGAGGGGAGGGGAGTCAATATAGTGTACTTTACTCCCAAAATAGACAGAATTGCACTTGCTTCTGGATCAGAAGGTCCAAAATAATTTTTGAACTTGATTAGCATGGTTTTGACTCCCTATATCTCATTAACTGCAAACCATTCCCCCCCATGTATCTGTTGATTGCATTTATAGTTGTTTTTTGTTGAGTTAGGCATGTGTTTCTTTTTTCCCACCTTGCTCTACGTCTTTCTCCACTAAAATGCAAGCTTTAAGTGCACTTTGTTCTTAATATTTCAGCATCCATTGATGCAAATATATGCTCTTCGCTCTTGACAACGTCGTCTTCATCTGATCAGGACTTTGTACAATTGTACCACACCTAGTTTGTACTGTATGCTTCTCTTTTGGATTCTAAGATTCTTCAGCGATCCAAATCCAGGCATCTTACTTTATCAATTTCTTATCTGCCAAAATGTGACTTCATCAATGAAAAGAAGATTGAATTGAGACAGCTAACCTGTGATATTAGTCAAGGTGCATGCAAGCTAGCCCGGAAACCACAGTTATTTAAAAGAAAAAGAGATTAAAACGAGACTTTCAGATTACTCTAATCTGGTTCTGATCTTCCAGGAGTTCACCTAATTTTTCTTTGGGATTTAGAGTATACTCGTGTTGTTGATATTCATGTAATTTGTTCTTTATAGTCCATCTATTGTAGTTTCAGTCTCTTATTAATTTAATTCGTCTTTTGTTTAATAGGGTATCTGTCGGGCACTATTCTTTGTTTTAACGTATAATTAAATCACCTCTATCAGCAATTTCTTATAAATGATATATTGTAATATTGTAATCTTAATTTTGTAGGCCATGTCAGGCTTCATGTCTCAGGTCATGGGAGAAAAAGTGTCATTTGATCCATCTCGAATGGTGTTGACATCAGGTGCAACTCCGGCCATTGAAGTTCTATGCTTTTGTTTGGCTGACCATGGAAATGCTTTGCTTGTTCCAACCCCCTATTATCCTGGGTATTTCTAATTTCAACCTGATTTAATATTTCCTCCAGTATGCACACCAGTGGGGTGCAGCTCGTGTTTAACTAGATTTTGTCTGCAGCTTTGATAGGGACATAAGATGGAGAACTGGTGTAGATCTTATACCTGTTTACTGTCGTAGCTCCGATGCTTTCATGGTGGACATAACAACTCTTGATCAAGCATTTAATCATGCTAGAAAGCGAGGGAAAAAGGTCCGTGGAATACTCATCTCAAACCCGTCTAACCCTGTAGGGAACATACTGAATAGGGAAATGCTATATAGAATCTTAGATTTTGCGAGGGAGAAGAACATCCATGTAATATCAGATGAAATATTTGCTGGATCTAATTATGGTGGTGAAGAGTTTGTAAGCATTGCTGAAATTCTTGATGAAGATGATGCTGACAGGGACAGGGTGCATATAATATATGGATTATCCAAAGACCTTTCTGTGCCAGGGTTTAGGCTTGGCGTTCTGTATTCCTTCAATGAGAATGTTGTGGCAGCATCTAAAAAGTTGACAAGATTTTGTGCCGCTTCGGCACCAACACAGAGCCTATTAGTTGCAATGCTTTCAGATGCTGGGTTCATCAAGGATTATATGAGAACAAACAGAGAGAGATTGCGCAAAGTGTTTGACTTATTTGTGGCAGGTCTAAAACAATTGGGCATCGAATGCATGAAAAGCAGTGCAGGCCTGTATTGCTGGGTTAATATGAGCGGATTGATTGGCCCTTATAATGAAAAGGGAGAGCTTGAGCTGTGGGAGAAGCTCTTGAATGTAGCTAAGATAAACGTGACTCCAGGGTCAGCTTGCCATTGTATTGAACCTGGATGGTTCAGATGTTGTTTTAGTACAGTAGAAGAAAAGGGCATTCCTGTAGTTATGGAACGGATACGTAAAGTTGTTGAACTAGTTAGGCCTTCTGATTAAATGTTTATAGCTTTAAAATAGTGTATGCTTTGTTAGTTATGTCATCTTTTTTCTGAGAATGCACTGTCCCTATTTTGGAATTCGGTATGTGCATCATTGACAGTTAATACTAAAGTTGCACTCATGTTGCCAATTTTATAATTCCAAGCTGTACAGTAGAATGTGAACATGTTGCACAAGTTTAAATTAAATATGGATAACAGAAATCTCCTTCATAGATGACGAGACAGTAATCCCTTTCAAAGTTGTGCCAAACTGTGAATGAAGATGCGCATCTTTCATATTAGTTTGAGTTGCAATTGCCTCTTCCACTTGTTGTGCAGTTCGCCAATGCTGTTGCCAATTCCAAGGATGCAGCTTCCGACAACATCATCATCCTCCATCATTTCCTGCAACAAGTATTATATTGTTCTTGCTTAAGTCGGGCATATATAAAGAGGGTTAATTGATGTTTTTCAGAGAACTACCTTAGAGATGCTCTGCTTCTGCATTTGGACGGTTTTCCTCTGGTAACTTCTTCTTCGGCTCATCATTATCAGCTCACCTAGAGTTAGTGGATGCCTTACTTTGATGCTGCAATTGTTTTCACGAACTTGATTGTTATTAAGTGCTTTCGGAGGAACATGAGAACCTCCTTTTTCAGGGTTGCTGCAGTTCTGAAGAAAGCTTGTATTAGGTGATAACAGAGGGAAGAGCTTTTCCAGAAAAGCAGTCCCAACCAAGCTTGTAGTTCCAGTGGCATAACTCAGAACGCTGCTGCCTGCTTCAGAAGTTGGTGAAAGAGGACTCTGTAGCTGGGTATGGTGTATGTCTGCTGTCGGAGAAGTTTGCTCCACAGGAACAGCACTTGAAATGTCGACAGTTGGTATGAAGCCATTAGCTAGGAGGGAAGAAGGGGCTGAACTGAAGGACTCATATATTGATTCAGAATCAGATGCCTCAACTTCTGACTCTGTCATCTCATCTTCTTCATGATTACCACGCTGATCAATGTACTCGCCAATTCCAGCCCAGAAGTCATCTCCACCTTCATGCACAGCCCTAACAGTTGAAGGTAAGCCAACAATATTTTCATGTGGAGATGTCTGTGAGAAGAAAGGAAGTGGTGTTCCTGGCTTTTCTTCCCATTCAAAGGGAACAGAAGCAATGAGCTTAACTGGGGGTGTAAACGTAAACGCACCACTAGTAGTAGCCGTAGCTACAGGCTTTGGTTTCCAATCCTTTATCGGTATTCCTGGTCTTTCTTCCCAGATAAACGGAATAGAAATTTGTTGCCTCTCTTTCTTGCAGGTTGAATTCACAGAAGGGTTGTTTTCTGCCGTTGGAGCAACATATATTGTCATCGCCATTTTCTCGTTTTTAGCTGAGGGAACAACTCACACAACACATACATATATATAGCAGAGAGTAAGTGGGTTAGAGGAGTTTGCAACTAAACCAACATGCCAACCGCACCATTTCTGCAAAGAAAGGTTAGGCAAACGTATTGTCTGTTATTGATAATAATATATATATTATTATGAAGATATCTGTCTTATCTAAGCACTCGTGTGAGAAGAATTCTGTGACTAAACATTTTTGGGCAAATTGTTTTTGTTGAAAAAGCCTGGTGTCATAGCCAATTGAAGAATTGGTCAACAAACTTGATATGCCTTACCAAACTAGTTGAAACTTTTTGGTAAAATTTAGGCTGGGTAGTGGGTTCAATGTTCACTGGTAGTTTATTAGTGCTCTACGAACTAATACAACAGGAAAAATCCTTGGAAGCCCTCTTTTCAAGCTTTGGTCAATTTTTTTGAACTTTTCACCACTAAAGGATAGTTCGGTTCGTGGTTATAATTATGCATTATTAGAAATGTCAAGACTAGTTATATCGAGTTTAGTTATGCTTGGTCTGATTTTAAAATTATATAATGGGTATCTTACTTCAAATTTGGAAAAGATTTAAGAGATAACAACATTTTTCTATTTTACTAGGATGTTTTTTTATCGTTATGCAAATGAAAATTAATAATAAAATTATTATGATCTTACCTACATTGTGAGATAAAGAGGTATTGTATTTTAATTGTTAAAATGAGATTAAGAAAGAGAATGATTATTTCCTACTTATTTATTAGTTAAAGTGATTTTAACAGAAAAAGAAATAAGAATTGAGTTCTTTAATAGCAATAATTTTGTGAGCAAAGAATATGTTTAAAAATAATGATTAAAAAAAACTACTGTATTTATTAGAAAAATGAGATTAAGTAAATAATAAAAGGACATTTTAAAATCAAATTATTAACGGAAGACATTATTATTATTTTTGACATAGTATAAAAATATTTTCATCCTTATCCATTGTTTTATTCTATTGTGTAATAAGATTTTCTTGAATATGTATATGGACTAACTAATTAAGACTCCACATTCTCATTATTAATCGAGAACTCTTATTAATCACCATGATTTTGATTTGCAGCATTGGATTGTTTTAACTTCTATGCAATGGCGATATAATTGTTTTTTTTAAAAACATAAGCATTTAATTATACGATTATACCATGATCTAAAGGGTATGTGACATGTAAAAAGAAAAATCATTTACTAAATAATTATTCTAAAAAGGACGATGAGAGATAAAAGAATGATACAATTTCATAATTATGCAATAAAGTAATTTTATTTGCACCCAATATAGCTACATTTTCATCTGCATAAAAATAACCAAAATTAGCAATATACGTATGGGCATAAAAAATTACTTTCAACAAAATTACATGTATATGCACTGTATCTGATATTTTATAAATATGTATATTCGTGTAGAGATGTATATACATTTATTCACATTGTTGATACAATAAAAGAAAAGACATAAAGTGACACCTGAAGTTGTCCCGAATTTTCAAAAGAACATCTTAATTATGCAGATATCCTGTTACCCCTCTAAACTATTCCTAACATATATTATTACATCATTTTCGGATCAATTTCAAATTTTAAATGACAAGTGTAATCACACACCAATCATTGTGTGACACGTGTTAATTCAATTTGAAATATTATTTTTTTTCATTTGAAGTTTCTCTTTCTCTTACTTTTTGACTTATTTTAGTTTTACTATTTTATTTTAATTTCGTTTCAATTTTAATTCATCTTCCACCCCAACTTTCAAGCTCCCTCCATTTTCTTTCTTTATTTCTTCTTCTTCACCTCTCAGCCTCACCTAACCCCATACCCATATCAAGTTGAGTCCCTTCATTTTCTCTCTTTTCTTCTTCTTATTTGATAACTTTTTTCTTTCCGAAAATATCCTTAAAAAAAGCCGTAGTTAATGTAGAGCTGTCCAAATCGGCTAATCAAATTTCCTAATATGAAAATTAAGGAAATCCTATTTTTAAATATTATTTGGAGTCCATAAAAGTTTCCTCTATATATAAGTAATTATAACCCCAAATACATCATTATATGTACAGACATAATACGATTAATAAGTTGCACAAAAACACATTATAACCAAATAATTAAGAAGAAAACATAACTTCTTGTCACAAAACAGAAAACCCAACTTTACGCCCAAGAAATTGTGGTTCCAACGAAAACTCAAGAAATCACGATTCCTATGATGAAATATATTTATTCCATAAGATGTTTTTTCTAACTAATAAAGCCAGAAAAGATGATTTGATAATTATAAGTGCGATAAGATATTTTGCGAGATTCATAGGTATCCAGAAGAACATGCATACACTTTCAATTTCAAGTCTAGAAGACGTGCGATTTTGTCCAAGGAAAATCCACTATGCAAAGCTAATAAACTTAATAATAAGATTTAAATCACTATTATTGATTACGTACAATTTTAATCTGTTTATTTATTTTTATCAATAGTAGGTAATAGTGTAATATTGCACTTTCTTTTTCCATTAATGTCATGTATACTATTGTTGAGTACAAGATAATAAATTTAAGCCACAACGTTCAATTTTTTCCGCCTTATTATTTGTAAATTTATTTCCAAAATTAGACATATAACTAAAGTAAATGTGTATTTGTCTGATAAGAAAAACGAAACAAGAAGATGATTAATTTATATGTATAATTTAAATTAAAACGATATATTTAAACTATTAGTTGTATGACAAACTTAGACATATATATGAAGTTTGAACTAAAAATATACTTGGCTAAGATACTTGTCTGAGTACTTTTTTAATTGATAATTACTGATTTTAGCGATATTTTTTATTATTTATTGTAGTACATAACAATATTTGTTATAAATTTGTAATATATTTTAAAAGTAAAATATACATGCAATATATCATATTAGAAGTATTTTAAAATATTCTCTAAGAAATTGACACATCTATTAAAGTGTTTGATAAATGTATTATCCATTAATAAAATTTTATATTATACTGTTTTACAAATTATGTCTATAATATGAATTAAAATTATATTATAAGTATATTATAAGTGTCCAATGAAAAAAAATATTATTACAACAAATAATAAATATTTTCTTAATATAAATAACATTATCTATTAGGTAAGTTTGCAAATTAATATCTCAAATCAAAACCAAACAGAATTCTGAGAGAGATAAGTCCTAATTTGAGCATTATTCGGATTCTCCCTCTCCCTAAATATAAGTAAATTATAACCCCAAAGTTCCAAACAAACATTATACACCAATCACTATTTGTTATTGGTCTTGTATTCCTAAAAAATTTAAAATAATAATTTTGAAGAAGTTGATAGGAAAAATAAAATTTAAAGAGTATTTTCAAAATCAGAAAATTAAAACAAATAGAGAAAATAAAATTTAGAAATACTTTACAAAAAAATTTCTCAAAAAAAAAAAATCGAGTCCATTGAATGCACAATGTGTCCTTAAGGAAATTATCACCTCAAGTACCCGAAGTTAAGAAAATATATCTTCTCAGGATAGAACAATCTTACTCACCGATGTATTGGTACCTAAAACTACTGTGTCAACTATCGGTTATTGGTGCAAATTTCCCGGATTATCATATGTTGGGGCCTGAGAAAATTATGGCTAAACATTAAATAATTTTAAATAGTATCTCATGTATTCAAACTCATGTATCCAAAGTATGAAACATGGTAGAGGAAGTAATATTTAAAACTATCGGGAATTTGAGTAATTAAGACCTAAACTAGTGAAATTTATGTAGTTTGCCCAAAAATGAAAATGGCCAAATGTTTTTTATTTTGATCAAAGTGATCAATTTAATGTAATTTTATGTATTATTGCACAACAAATATGGCAACAATTTATGTATTTATTGCACAACAAATTGGGTAAAAGGAATAAGAAACAACAATAGAAGTGATCAATGTAATGCAATTAATTATGATCAACTGATCAAAATTTGACTAAACTTGCAATAATTTATAACTCGTGATTGAAGTTTAAATAGTAGCCCCAAAATGCCAAATTCAATAGTTGAGTTTCAATACATATACCGAACATCAAATACTGACCGTAATAATTTAAGGAGATTTTTAACACTTAATTTTTTTATAACATGTATCATCACTTCGAACTCTATGAAGTAGTTTCTGAAACGTGATATACTTACATATATAGCATCTATGTTGCTTGGACCTTTTAAAATATCAAAGCATGTCATATCTGCTCAAGGGGTATTTTAATATGAGGTAATGATAATTCAAGGGTAAGCACCCAATAATTTAAATATGAAACTTGTAAAATGATGTTAGTTCAGAAATTTTTAACCTATTTAAAATTTGTATAACTATTTTTAATAACTTTTTCGTCATCTACAAGTGCGACATTAAACGCGAAATATGTGTAAAGTATTTTCCCATTGTCAACATTTTCAACTTAACAAGATCTAGTGTGGATCTAGTTCAACACCAAATCATACCACATCAATTTGGCTTGTGTTATCAACCAAAGATTGTTAAAGCACAACACAAAAGAATCAATAGAGAAACTTAGAAAAAGATAAAAAGAAGGTGGATGTCACAATATCAAAATGCAATATCTCAACTATATATGTAATCTTGAATATTCTGATCCACCAACTCATAATATAAGGTGATGCATTAAAACCTAAATAAAAATACACAAGTGGGGTCACCCCACAATTACAAGGCAATGTCTTTTAAGTTTTATTATGATAAGTCTCCTCCTCTCCCCAACAAAATATGCAAATCACAAGTTGCTTGTTTCTATGTTTTCCATGTAATAAATTTTTCCAAAGGCCCCATATTTTCAAACTCTGTTATGTGCATATGCATTTGGACGGTGAAATACAACAATGGCCTACCTTTTGTACACAGGATATGGCTAACTCTTGTCCCAATTTTTCATGCATGCACTTTACTTTGTTGCTCCCCCTTTCACATTGAATTCCAATTGCTAACACATACGCACTGACAACGTAAAGAATTTTGTTGCAACCAGACCAATTTCACTTGTTATAATCCGTCTTACTTTTTAAGTAACTAATGAACGTATTATATTTTAGATAGTCTGATTTTACATCTATCAATTCAATATTTCTTTCTTTTGCACCACATTAATAATTCTTTCTACATATTAAAGTGGGGTTAGAAGAATTTAATGTAATCACAATTTGACCCCTAAAAAAGATCATATGACACATGGAGGATCCAAAGTAGGAATTTGTTGTTTAATTATAATCCTTCAACTCACCATAAATAAGGGACCACTTATTACTTATAGTCTATTACCAATCATATCATCAACCAACTTATTTGTGGTTTATCTTCAAGTATTCTTTAATTA